GTTTCTGGACCCGTAATCATTCTTGTTGTTGTTGCTCCTCCAAAAGCTTTTCCCAGTCCTACAATCATCTCCACCAATACTCCAACTGAAAAAGCTGTTACAATCCCTGCTATCACTCCTACTAACATTCTTGCTGCCGAGTTAACCGAGACTCGAGGTAAAAGTATTTTGATTGAGCCTGTTCGGACGGAGGCACAATCATTGGCTATCCCTGAGACCTCCTAGAAAGAGATGGAGGAAATTCTAAAGATCATAAAAAGAAGCGACTACGATGTAGTTGAACAACTGGGGCAAACTCCATCTAAAATTTCCATGCTGGCTTTACTACTATGTTCTGAGGCGCATGCTAAGGCCTTGGTAAAATTCCTGAAAACTGCCCATGTACCCCAAGAAACATCTGCCGATCAGTTCCAAGACTGCGTAGCCAGCTTGACTGCAGATAATGGTCTAGGTTTTTCGGATGCTGATTTAACGCTAAGAGGAAGGAAGTATAATGAGGCATTGTATGTCTCAGTTGAATGTAGGGGCACAACCTTGGCTCATGTTTTGGTGGACACTGGCTCATCTCTGAATGTATTGCCTAAAAAGGCTCTTGATAGGCTTGACTATGAGGGATTGACATTGAAGCCAAGTAACATAGTAGTGAGGGCCTTTGACGACTCAAAAAGGTTGGTGCATGGGGAAGTGGATATCCCCATAAAAGTTGGAACCTAAACATTTGATTCAAATTTTTTATGTAATGGATATCCGTCCTTCATATTCCTGCTTGCTAGGCCGACCATGGATTTATGATGCTGGTGCTGTTACTTCTACGTTGCACCAAATGCTGAAATATCCGATTCAAGGGAAGATTATCACTGTTCATGGAGAAGAAGAGTTATGATCAACCGTCTCAATTCTTTCATATATGTAGAATTAGATGGTGAATTTATTGAAACTCCATTCCAACACTTTGAATAAGTCCCACAAGATGTGGCAGTGACCAAGGTTGTTCCCAAGATCACAAGGCCTCCACTCAGGATGTCATCTTTGAAGGATGCAAAGACAGTGATAGAAGAAGGTGGGTGCACTATCTGGGGACAATGTAACGCCCGTAATTTAATTAATTATTTAATTAAATTATTTTTGGAATATTTGTGAAGATGTGTAATAATTAATTGGATTTAATTATTTTATTAAGTGGTGAAATAGTATTAGAAGTATAATATTATTTGATGTGGGCTTGTTTTTAAAGGAATGGAAGTAATAAGGGGGTGTATTAGTTTTAAGTCCAATAAGGAATAAAGAATAATAGGGTTATTTTATTGTTGTTGGAATAGAATAGAAAGAAAGAAGCAGTAGAAGAATAAGAATTGAGAGGAGAACGTGCAAGATCTTGGAAAAGTGGAAAAACGGCAAGAACGAGAATTCAACCGGAAATTGTAGAGCGACCTTCAATCCAAGGTAAGAGTGGGGTTCTGACTCTACAATTGGGTTTATGATGATTGGTATGTGGGGTTAGAGGTGATTGCTGTCTTGTTCTTGAATTGAATGTAAATAACGATGTATGATGAAGAATTGATGAATTTTAGATGAATAATGTTGTCATGATGTTGTTTAATTGATGTAGAATTATAAGGTAATTGTAAGTGATGATTATCCATGATTAGGTTAAATTTTTAGGGCTTTAAGTATGAATCCCGTAATGAGATGAAGGGAAGAAAAACGCAGAATATTGCAGGGAAGAAAAACACAGAATTATGCGTGAAGGATATCAGAAGTTGCTGTATTAGAATAATGAATTAAATTGGGGATAGAGGTAGTCATTCTGCTTTTAGTTAAGTTGCTATCAGGCTAAGAATTAAAATAGTAGGATTAGTAAAAAGTAGAAGTTCTGATGGTAGAAGTTGTGTTGGTTAGAAGTTGCGTTGGATTAGTAAGAAGTAAAAATTTTGATGGTAGAAGTTGTGTTGGTTAGAAGTTGCGTTGGATTAGTAAGAAGTAGAAGTTTTGATGGTAGAAGCTGTGATTAGAAGTTGTGTTGTCAGAAGTTGGGTTGTCAGAAGATGTGTTGTCAGAAGTTGTGTTGGTCAGAAGTTGTGTTGGTCAGAAGTTGGGTTGTCAGAAGTTGTATTGTCAGAAGTTGTGTTGGTCAGAAGTTGTGTTGGTCAGAAGTTGTGTTGGTCAGAAGTTGTGTTGTCAGAAGTTATGTTGTCAGAAGTTGTGTTGGTCAGAAGTTGTGTTGGTTAGAAGTTGTGTTGGTCGTTGTGTTGTTTTTGTACAGAACGATGAAGGTTAGATGCTTAGAAGCTGCTGTTTGAACTATAACAGTAGGAATAGTGACGGTAATGACGTAAGAGTTACAAAATAGCAGTATGAATTACTGTGGAATTAATGTACAACTGAGTTGTTAGTGAGAAGTTATTAATGATGTTGTGTTTATGATTTATAATAAATAAATAATGTTTGATGAATTATTATGATGATATGAGATGTTGATGACGAGACGTTGAGATGCTTTTGAGATGTTGTTAATTTGAGATACTTTGAGATGTTGTTAATTTGAGATGCTTTTGAGATGTTGTTAATTTGAGATGTTGTTAACTTGGGTGTTGTTATTACATTCATGGTTGTGTCGCATACATTGCATTTTTGAGATGGAGCTTATGCTCGTTGAGATGGCCTATATTGGCGAATTTTGAGACGAAGGCTTATGCCTTGTTGATGCCTCTATTAATTTGAAATTTTTTGAGATGGGAGTTCTGCTCCAATGGTACCACATGCATTTGCATAGTATTGAGCATCATTATATGATTGCATAAAGAAGTGTATTTTGACGTTGATGAATGTGTATATACATTGTAATTATTGTTGATTATGAGATGAGAAGTGGTGATGTTATTGCTCTAATTTAATATATTAATTATCAGGCACTTTATTATATTGTTAGATATCTCACTCCTTCTGTTTCAATGTTGCCCTTATGTTGGTAACGTGCAGGTAATCGAGAGTGAAGGCTGTATACCTTCAGTAGTTCGAGTCAATGTCATTTCTCTGATATGTAACACTCGGGGGGATGAACGCTTGCTGTTTTTGATTGTTGATTTTCAGTTGTTAAACTTTAAGTTGATTATTATTAAATATGTGCTGTTTCGAAGTTGATGTTTTATTGTTAAAGATGTTATTGAGAATTCCGCTGCGTAGATGTTGAGTTATTTAATTAAAGATGTTATGATGATGGTTCATCCGATGTTTTAAAAAGTGTTATATATCCACGATGAATGCAATGAATTTTGATAGAAGAATTTGTGACGTCCCGATTTGTTTGCATGATTGAATTTTTATAACTCTGATTTATTTATGTAATTGCTTGGGGTAGAATTGGGGTGTTACAAAGTTGGTATCAGAGCAAAAGGTTTGTCCGACCTTGTCGTCGAGTCGTAGTTGTCTAACAATCGAGTATTGTTATTTTGAGTTCTAACCGTTGTTTATGTTGTAGTGATAAGTTGAGATGGCTGGAAGGAACTGAAGCCACCGGCAGAAAACACAGAGCCGCCATCGAACTTTATTTATCCCGAAGGAAGGGGAAATATCGATAAAACCACAAGGGAATGGATAAGATGGTCTTGCGACCAAGAGAAAGGGTAAGGGAGTCGGTTATGCGAGGGGAAGGTATTAGCACCCCTCGCATCCGTTGTACTCAACGGGATCCGTTTTGTTTGTTTGTCTTAAAGGGTGCGTTTATCTACAACTATGCTTGCTTAAGGGGAAATGAATGGTTTTTATTATTGCGTTCGTGAGGGTTTCGCGACCCTTTGCCTATGTATCCAATGAAGGAATCAGAACACCGTAGTTCCTCTAGAAAATGGTTGGTTTGTTTGTGTTTTTTAGTGGGCGACGTTAACGCACACATTCTAGCAATAAGCACGGCCTATATCGTGGTAGAATGGAGATAACATGCCCTTTGGGGGAGTTTTGATTGGTTGAGTGTTTTTGCGAGTTTTAAAATAAATTCAAGTAATGATTAAAGGTGTTTTGGATTTTTGATTTGTGACAGTTAAGTTTTTAATTAATTACGAAAATAAAAATCTAAAGGGGGAAGTTTACCCTAATGTTATTATGTACTTGTTGAGCTAAAAGTCTACCTCGACATAAGACGACCGAAACGAGATTTAATCGCCTCATGGAGTTACCTAAGGGAATATGTTATAAAGATTCAAATAAAAGAAAGAAAATTAAATCCTAATTACCTTTATCATGTAGAAATAATTAACAAGCTCATGTGTGCATGAGAGATAGAATCAAATAATTAAAACAAAATCAAACAACTAAATGACTATTTGCACAAAACTAATTAAATTAATTGAAAATATTTAATAAAACTAATTAAAGAAAACTAGTTAAATTAAATAAAACCGATTAAAAATACTAATTACCATCATCGATTAACAGAATAACAAAATAATAATTAAATAAGCAAATAAAAATAGGTTGAATTAAATAAAACATAGGGTTGAAAAGCAGAGAAACGAGATTGGGCTTATAAAGCAGAAATTAAAAAGGCCCGTGTATAAAAAAAAAACGAGGCATATTTTTTTTGAAAATAATCTTGGGCTTTAAGAAGGACTGGGTCGGGTTAGACCCGTGTCCTGCCCACAAAGCAAAGGAAAGAAATGGTAAAAAAACCCTAAAACTAGGTGAGGCTAGCGCCTCTTTCACCAAAGAGAACGTAAGAGGAAAAGGAAAATCTGTATTTCAATGCTTCCCTCTTCTTCACAAACGTCCGTTTCTCAAACCATATTCTTATCACCTTCGTCGTGCCTTCACTTATGCCGCTGACCTTCTTTACATCATCGTCACGAAAAAACGCCACAACCAACGCTCATCATCTCTAGATGGCCTTCTATTCCATTAATCTCAACATGTTTCTCTCAATTCAAACCACCTAATGCGGCAACAACCATCAAGGTTCATGTTCGTGTTGACACCAACCAAATCGGTTCTCACAATGAACCACAATAATGAATTCTTCCTCTAAACGGACCCTCGCGATTTCTCATCATGCTCTCTCTCGGTAACAGTTTAACCCTTAACAACAACGAAGCATCTGGTTTCAATCTTCTGCGTGCTACTGGTTTCGTTCAGATTTCCAACTCATAGGTAAACAAACAACAACTTAATCAATCTCCCAATTTTTATTACTAACTTAATTGGTTCTCTTAATTATGCCAACCTCTTCTCTCTGCTCGGTTCTGTTCCGATTAAACCCAATGAAACTACAGTGATATAAACCTATTCCTTTGGTTATACTCCTAATTTCCTATTGCTCATTCAAATTTATGCAGGCAAAATAGACTTACATACAAAGCAGAACAAACTATATTCACAAAAGGCATAGTAAGCAATGTTCAAGAAATCACAAATTCGTTAAAACGACAATAGAACAACATATTATTAAAGCATTACCGATTTGAAGTCGCAGCTCTCGGGTATAACCTCCCACCCTTTTTTATAATTTTCTTCTGCTACTTCCTTTAGAATTCTTCTGCTCTATGTGTGAATTCTATGTCTATTTCTGTTTTGTTGGACTGAGTGTGAGATTTGAGGGATGTAAGGTGGATGACTATTGAAGTTTTAATGGAAAAGTGGTTTTTCTTTACTGTTTTTCTTGTCAATTTTTGTATGCTGGGTAAGCTTCGGAGGGTGATTTTGAAGGTGATGAAACAATGTTTTTTTCTCTACCGTTTTTTGTTGTTGAATCCCTGCTCTTTTCTTGATGTGTTCTGATATTTTTATAGAGAAAATATGATAAATAAAGGAGAAAAGTGGGTGATTTTTCGACAGATTTAGATGCTGTTTTTTTTACTTTCTGAAATAGTTTTTGGTGTAACTATTTTAGTGCAAGCTTTGGCCTGGTTTGTTTGGTGTTTGTGTGCAGGTTGGAGCAGGGTAATTGTATCAGAATGGACAACTGCAGTTTTGCTTTTTCTTGGACTGTTTTTTGTGGTTTTATTCAAGGATGTTGTGGTGGTTTATGGACAGTTTTGTTTTATGATGCAGGGCTGCACATGACTGCTTTGAAAGTAGGGTGTTTGGGCTGTTTTGAAGGCTTTTGGGTCATGTTTTGGACTGATATGTTTGGTATACTACATGGTTATTCTGTTTTGTTTTGTACATGCTCATGGGCTGATTTTTTTACATTGTTTTTGGACAGGTTTTGCAGGATGATGCAGGGAGGTTTGGTGGCTTTGAAATATGGTTTGAGGTTTACAAAATAAGGCAAAGGCAAGACATATGGTCCATGTTGGCACAAGATATTTTGAAGGCTTGAAAAAAGTGTTTAGGCTTAAATTTAGTGTAGGATTAGGACTTAGGTATCCATGTTCAAAAGACTTGTAATTTTCCTTTCTACTTTTCTTTCAAGAATGCCATGACAAAAAGAATTGTAACTTTTAATGATTTTAAATGAATGAACCTCGAATCTTGCTTGAATGAGATTAAAACTTGAACTTTGAATGATGAATCTTGTTGTATGGAAATTGGATAAGTCTTGACTAATGGATGTTAGCATAGGATCATTTTGAATGAGTTTGAACTCATGGTAAACCTTGTAAATTCGAATGGATAATTGTGTGAATACAAGTGGAAATTACTCGAAACTTGAATGATCTTGTAATGAACAATAAACTTGTTTGATGTCTTAGATGAGTAATGGACAATGGTGATGAATTTTGGTACATGACTATAGAACTTCCAAGTCGCGATCTCTCTCTCTCTCTCTCTCTCTCTCTCTCTCTCTCTCTCTCTAGCATACTTGAGTTGATTTTAAAATCAAGATGTACATTTAGCCTTTCGTACTTGGATCCAAGATGATCCAACTTCAACCTTGTACGCCTAGAACCTTCCCAACCTTGAACCAACCTGAACTCCTAATTTCAAGTGTTCTCGATACGAGTGAACTTGCTTGGCAAGCAACAAGCATTTGAAAGAATAATTATGCTTTGTTCATTAGGAATCTTCCACCTTAAATTACTTATATCACGACTCTACCTTCCCACGATTCAAATTCTTAACTCCTTAGAACCCTGATCATAATTTCATTTCTTGCATCAAACTTCAAATATTCCTGACTCACAAGATTTTCCTAAAGTAATTACGGGAATTCTAGTATCAATGACTCAAATTCAATTGTGATGCACATTGAATGAAGAAAACGTTTTGAGACGTCTTTGAAGCAGATGAAAGAAGAATTTCACACTAAATAGGGGTCTAAAACCCTAGTCTCTTGACAAACAATAGGGAAATAAACCCTAATCCCAGCTCTGATGAATTCGAGCGAGAACCAACCTGGTAGCTTGATAAGAAAACAATCCATGATACCTCAAGAATCCACCCCATGGTCCACTAACCGAGAACCAGATGACCTTCCCTTTTACCTGATAAGAAAACTTCAAAACAAAATTAGACATAAAGAGGGCACAACCCTAATACCTTAAACCAAAGCGCCTGATTCCATGAGATGCAGGATATGAAAATGACTGAGTGAAAATGGTGCAAATAGAATACAAAGTTCAAAGCCAGACAAAAGTAAAAGAGGTAGGGCAAATTTGGGGTACGACAGCTGCCCCTATTTAATCGTCTTAAACCTGAATGTGAGATTGGCGTCAGCCTTTCGTAAGTTCAAGGTGGAAGATGATTAAATACCAGGACCCAAAATTTGCCCTGGAGAGATGGTGTGAGTGTCATTTATTGGTGTGAGTGTCTGCTGGGGAAAGGAAAGATGGTCTCCTGGTGGACTGGTCATGATGGATAAACATGGTTGAACAATGGTAGCTCGTATTGGGGTAACGGTGCCAATACAAAGGTTCTTGAGGGAGTGGGCGGTAGAGTGACTGAAAGGATATGGTTGACAATGTTGCGGTGACTAAAGGTAGGATTCATAAGAAACTTTAAAGATAACACGAGGGTAAAGCCTGCGGAAGACTTATGACCCTAAAAGATAACGTGAGGGTAAGACCTACGAATGACCCACAACCCTAAGAGAGATATAGCGAAGGTAGGATCTATGGATGATCTTCGACCTTAAAAACAAGATGAGGGGAGGGTGAAGCGAAGGTAAGATCTACGGACGATCTACGACCCCGAAAATATACGCGATGGTAAGATCTACGGAAAATATACGACCCTAATAAAACACGATGGTAAGATCTATGGACGATCTACGACCCTAAAAACAAGATGAGGAGAGGGTAAAGTCTACGGACGACCTACGACCCTAAGAGAGATAAAGTGAAGGTAAGATCTATGGATGATCTACGACCCTAAAAATATAACGCGATGGTAAGATCTACGAACAATCTACGACCCTAAAAACAAGATGAGGAGAGGGTAAAGTCTACGGACGACCTACGACCCTAAGAGAGATAAAGTGAAGGTAAGATCTATGGACGATCTGTGACCCTAAAAATATAACACGATGGTAAGATCTACAGACGATCTACGACCCTAAAAATATAACGCGATGGTAAGATCTACGGATGATCTACGACCCTAAAATGCGAAGGTAAGATCTACGGACGATCTACGACCTTAAAAATAAGAGGAGGAGAGGTAAAGTCTACGGACGACCTATGACCCTAAAAATATAACGCGATGGTAAGATCTACGGACGATCTACGATCCTAAAAACAAGATGAGGAGAGGGTAAAGTCTACAGACGACCTACGACCCTAAGAGAGATAAAGAAAAGGTAAGATCTATGGATGACCTACGACCATAAAAAGATAACGCGATGGTAAGATCTACGAACGATCTACGACCCTAAAAACAAGATGAGGAGAGGGTAAAGTCTACGGACGACCTACAACCCTAAGAGAGATAAAGTGAAGGTAAGATCTATGAACGATCTACGACCCTAAAAATATAACGCGATGGTAAGATCTACGGACGATCTACGACCCTAAAAATAAGATGAGGAGAGGGTAAAGTCTACGGACGACCTACGACCCCAAGAGAGATAAAGTGAAGGTAATATCTATGGACGATCTACGACCCTAAAAAAAAAACGTGATGGTAAGATCTACGGACGATCTGCGACCCTAGAAACAAGGTGAGGAGAGGGTAAATTCTACGGACGACCTACGACCCTAAGAGAGATAAAGTGAAGGTATTAAATCTTGCTGAGGAGGAATGACTTGATCTGACTTCCTTCACGTGTTGGACTTTTTGTGAATAACCGAAAAGAGACGTGGATCCCAACCAAATGCCCCAAGTCTCTCCATGTGGGAGAATCGGGCGCTCGGTCGACTGTAGGGGGGCGACGAGGATGAGAGCTTGGTCGAGGCGACCGTTGTGACTTGCTACTTGCACAGAAGAGCGAACACTTGAACGCCACAACATTCCCTTGGGATGCCTTCCTATCCACGTAATGTAGTGTTTCCCATCTTAGCTTGTGAGTATTATTGACTTATTGTTTTCAATGCAATGCTTAACAAAGAATTTAAATCACGATTCGCATACGAAAAATAAAGTAAAAGAACATAACAAAGATTTTTTAATGGAATGTGTAGCGATAAAAAATGTAGCAGGGTAAATCGGAGATCGAATTATTGATTAATTCGTCTCACAAAAGCAAGAGTCGCCACCGCGCTTTATTATTTCCAAGGGAAAAGGGGAAAGAGCGAAATAAAACCCTAAATATGCACTGTAAAATAATACTTTTTAAAAATAGTAAAAATACAGGGCGTTTTTGAAAAGAGATCTATGGTTCGGGGGTTGGTTATACAGTGGGAAGGTATTAGCACCCAATGTATCTATAGTACTCTATAGGAACCTTTTGAAAAATCTGTTTATTAAAATGTTCGTTTGATTAAAAATAAATTGTTTTGGCCGAAAAGGGGTACAGACGGGTTTTTTGAAGGTACGACGACCTAATGTCGAAGTTTTGGCTTAAAAGGTATGAATTTTGAAAAGATTGAATATTTGGGGAAAAATTGTCTTAAGTTTTAATGAAATGCAGATATTCGCATGACTGGATTTGAGGACATGAAGTCAACAAATTTAATCATTTCTCTCTTGGATTTAGAAGTAAACAGAATAACCATGTAAAGACGAAATAATTAAACATAAGATTATGCAGATAATGATTAAGTTATATATAACTACAACAATGATTAAATAAACAGATTAAATAGTGTGAACTTACATTTTTTTATTTTTGTTTAATATGTATAACGCAAGAGAATTAATTAAGAAAAATAAAATGTTTTTTAAGGCTTTTATTTTTATATGTTTTTCTAATATTAATATAAAGTATTATTTGAGAATTATTAAATAATTCTAAACTAAATTAAAACCTTAAAAGCTATTAACTTAAATCTAATTAAAAAAAGAATACTAAAATTATTAAATTAAACCTAAGGTTAAACTTAATAAAAAAATGATCCAATTATTTAAAATTGTCTAATTAAAAAACACCTCTTATTTAATTAAATTACTAATTAACTAATTTAATAAGATTCTAAAAAACTAAAAGGAGATAAATGAAGAAGGGGTATCAAATTAAAGGGGGTGGATAGACAGTTATATGGGCCAAAGAGTTCTAAGGAGCCGAAATCCAAATAAACAGAAATGGGGGGTGTGTTTAAGGAATTCGCTGGGCTTAGGCAGATGGGATGGGTTAAGGTCCATACATTATAATTTGTTTAGGTTTAAAACAAATTGCTTTAGTTTGGAGAAAAAAGGGATTAGGGTTCACAAGGTGTACAGAGCGGCGCTCATTTGCTCGTCTTCTTCGTTTTCATTCCTCTCTTCCACCTTCGCCTGAGCTTTCCTGCTACAGCCACCGGCGTCCTCAAAACTCCTTCTTCCCTCCAACGAGAATACTAGGGCGACCGATTCAAGGTAATTTTCATTCTTATTCGTTAGGGTTTTTACTACTGCATGTTATGATTTTGTGTCCATTTTTCGATTTTGACTTCGAATTGTTAATGGTTATTTGAGGTATACAAAAGAAAGAGAGGGAGAAAAGCGTTACCTTTGGAGACGGAGGAAGGAAGGTTGGGGGTACGCATAGGAGGCCAAGGCGGCGGGGAAGACAGTGAGGATGTGAGCTTTGACCCTGGTATTTCGTTTCTTAAATCAAAACATTATCTTCTTCTCCTTTCTGTGGGCTCGATGCTTTGCTTCTGTTGCTTTTTGTTCCTTCTTCCTCTTGGTAGCCTTTGTATATTTTTCTCTCTTCTTTTGGCCTTGCTTTGCCTCTTTTCTTCTTCTCCTGTTGGCTTGATGCTTGACTGTTGCCTTCGAATAATTTTCCTCTCTTCTTCTTGC